GTATACGGGAATTCGCGACGAGAGAGAGAACGCAACCTGGCAGGCAATTGCTTGAAATACGACTTACTTGTTGTGGACTAGAGCTGTGGATGGCCAAATATACCGGGCGACCTGGACCCATGAAAAGCGGTAGCAGGACCTTGGCAGCGGAAGACAGACCCTTGGGTAGCAACGCAGCTCTCACACACTCTCGCCTGGTATATGTTCACGGCGCAGTATCGCAGCCCGACGGTTTCACACACGTTCGCGCTATAGGGCTCCCAGAGACAGAGTGCCTCACACCGCTCACAAGCCTGCCTTACAGGCCCAAGGCGTTAGTTCTCATCATCGCCGGTGATAGTCTCGCGAATACAGGCGGTCTCGGTTACATGACCCTCATTCTTGTGTCGTGCTCTTCCTGCCCGAAATATCATCTCTCGAAGTCGCCTCGCGTTCGCATCGACTCGCGAAATTATCATGTCGCGACGGGCGTAAAGTTAAAGGATGGGAAAAGGGATGAACACCCACCGGACTCTGCTCTGGCCGAGTGTCGCGTAACACGCCACCGTGTTACAATATAACAACTTTTTTACTAGACCGATTACGCCAAGCACTTTCATTTATGAAATTATGTATTTCAAAATCAATCATTGAATTTATTAAGAAATAATTATAAAATCGTGAACCCCAGTACAGTTAGAGGACCAGAAAGCCAATATATTGGCGCACCTCCTAATCGATACTTAGCCTATTATCGATCAATGATTTAAGATACCTTTTATGCCAGGTTTTATAGTTGATATGAACTCTGAAATCCCGGCCCTGAGAGAGAAGTCGAACCGGTGTACTATTTGATCATAGCATGTGGAAAGTCGACTTAAAGATTTTTCATATCAGTGGGTCCAAAGTAGCATTTCCTACTCATCGCTCTAAACGGAGAGTTTATATTTTCGGGACACAAAGTATGAAAGAGAGGATATCAACCTAGACCAGAAAAAATCCCCAGTACACGCGTTTACGTTTTAAAAGTTAAACATAAAATTCTGTAAAATTTCATTTAAATTAAAAAATAATGTTTTGAAAATAAATAAGAGGGCTAGTCACAGTTATTTATACCACACATGTTATTTTTAATTATTTCCAAAAGATTTATCACGGGTTTATATGCTCTAGCAGCATAATAAAAAAATGGTTTATCATAAAATATAAGATTGTTCTGTAAGATAATGGGGGTTGCCTTTAGAATTCGAAAGAAATTGTTTGTATAATTGATGAATTCTAGAGGACGACCATTAATGCTCTAGAAAGTTCAACCAAATTCATGCTATATTGCATACCTGGATGAATATATTCATTGTCAGTTGTTCATTGTAGTTGTTCATTGTAGTTGTTCGCAATGTTCCAATTATTTTTATAAATTGAAATTTTTATTGGTTACTTTTTCAAGTATGAAAAAAAGAATATTGGAAGAAGGATAAACACCATCGTGAACCCCGAAAAAAAACGTAATTAATTTAGAACTTTTTTCATCATTATAATAATTCTATGAATAACTATTTAATCGAAAATAACTTTATATTGTTTTAGTTTATACTTCTCGAATTATTGATATTGTAGTGACAACTGAAACTTTATTTTAATTAACTTTTTTATGATGCAGGTTTATGAAAGATCCTTTGGTTGTATTATGTGAAAGAAACGTACAAAGTTAAATAACATGTGTGTTAAATAATTGTCAACATAATAAAATTAAAATAATTGAAAAATGGATAAAAACGCTATTTTGCAAATAGAAGAATTTTATTCAATTAATGCTTACTGGCTAAAAGTGATGCTCAAACTAGTTTTTTTCTGGCCATATAGTAACTATACTATTGATTTAGTAGGAAGTATTTCGATGCAAATCATTTTACTGATTCCTATTTTTGCATCTGTAATGTTATATTGTTTTACTTAAAAAGTATTCAATTCATATTTGGCTAAATGAAAAATTTATCATCAGATTTCTCGAGCTCACGAAGAAATTTTTTTGACTGCGGAACCGGATTACGTTTTATGTGCTGAAACAATACTACAAACTTCGATGGGTTTTGCTGTTATTATACATCAACAAGCAGGGTTTCTGAATAAAAAAAAAGTATACAAACAACATATAACTATCCGCTTTATTAAATTCTGTTTTCAATAAATTCACTAATTGTAGCTTGCTGCCTGTTTACTAATGATTTATAATCAATGGAAAATGGAAGATAATACAAAGGAAAAAAATTGCATTATACAACATTTGGGAAATAGTTATCAACTAGGGTTGATAGCAAACTGCAAGTATAAATATACTAAACTTAGCAAGTTAATTAATTTAACCATTACGAGTTTTTCCTCAGGTTTTGTTTATATTGTTTTTCTGGCGTTTGTTTATGGTCCGTTCATTCGAATGTACACAATTGATAACGTTAGAGGCCAGCTTCTGTATACGAAGTATTTTTTTAGCTACGACAAGTACTATGGTTGCATATTTGCATTAGAAACGATCTGTGTGCTGATAACATCAACTGTGATAGCAGTTTTGCTGTTTTCATATATATTTTGCAGTTCACTTCTATTTAAAAAATTTAAATATACAAAGTAAAAGCGAAAATAAGCTGATTAATTTTAAATTTTAAGAAAAAATGATGTTTATTAATATTTTTAGCGATCATTTTAATATGAACAATAGCTTCAAAATTCGTACGCATCGTGGCTCGAAATTTGATTTGAATAAAAAAATTGAGAGAAGATTGATCAAAAGTATTATAATTCACAATAAATTTATTGAGTTAAGTTTTTATCGCGTCATAATATTTTAGAAAAAATAATCCATTAAAAACATAAAAAGTTATAAGATTACAATGTTTTAGATTATTCAACGTCTGCAATACATTCATTCGCCCATTGATGCTGATAACTTTGAGTAATACGCTCGTTGTCTTCACTGTTTTAGGATTTATGGTATCCAAGTTATTCTGTTCTTTTTCCATTGAACGTTGAAAATACGATCAATCCCTTTTAAATTTTTTTATCGATCAACTGTCAGTTCACTATGTACTATTTGTTTACAATTCATTCATGGTCTTCTTAGATGGTAATTCAGATAAAAAATGGGCTCACGATGGATACTTTAGCAATAGCTAGCGGGTTCTTTGGATGCATGTTGATGCTAGTGGCAAGCGGTGTTCCAAGTCAACTTGTCAGCGAAGCTGGCAATGAAATTCGATTGACTTGGTAAAAGTGAACAAATAAATTCTGTTACATAAGTATAAGATAACCCTGTTTTAATAGTTACTTCAATGAATGGTACGAGTGGACGCCAGAAATCAGAAAATTGTTTATTATGGTGATGGTAAGGACGATAAGATCTTGCAGTTGGCAAGCTGGTTTGGGCATCAACGTAAACCTTCAAACTGTGACTTTTGTAAGTGCTACAAGAATGATTCATTTCAAATAAATACTAATAATTTGTGTATCATTAGATCATTAAAACAGGAATGTCTTACGTAACGACAATGATATCCCTTTATTCTTAGAATGCAGTGAATTGCAATGGAAAAATCCTACTCAAAAATGCAATATAAAATTTTTGAGTTTAAGGTGTATGGGTCCCCTTAAATTTGAAACAAGTGGCTTTTATAAATTATGTAATGGTTATTGTAATTATAAAGAATTTAAAAAATTAAAAATTAATGGTTAAAATATGAAATTTGAATGTTAGAAAATTAATTTTTGTGTGCATGTACAGTGTGAATGTACTTTTCTTGTTTTTCGGATTTTAGGCTAAGATCAAGATTACTGACTCAGTTACATTTTACTCATTTATACAAATTTTTTCTTCCATGAATTTTACTAAAAGTTGATAATTTATGAATCAATACTGATTTCGAAAGTGGCATTTTTTTCATGCCCAATTTAAAATATTTATTTTCGAATAAGGGATTGACTACTTTCTAAAAAAGACTTGAAAGAGATTTCACTAGAGTTTTTATAAACAAGATTTTTGCAAACCATGCTTTATGTAATTATATTTACTTGCCACTTGCAGGTATACGCAGATAAAAGCACTCGCCATCTAGTGGTCGAGGTACTATCATATTGAAGTTGCTGTAACTGGCCTAGATTTTTCGAAGTAATTTAATGGTCATTTTAGGATTTTTAAAATACGCTTCATATTTGCAAAATAATCAGAACAATTGCCAAAAACAAGCAAATTAATGGTAAGGTATTTTAAAACTTTTAATTTGCAATATCAAAAAGGGGTACATTTTTGTTAATATCAATATCGAGCGTTTTTACGAGGATAATGATAATTATGATAATTGTAATTGTTGTACGCTCATATTATGAGCCTGATATATATTGATAATAGGCGCGGAATCATCGACAGGCAATAATACCGTACAGTATAGCTGCGTTCGGCTGCTTCATAATATCCAATTTACTTCTCTCTCTCTCTCAATCGACGTTATAAATACAGGCGTGTTCAGCAGAAACAGCCGCAAAGCTTGACCCATTTATAATAAGCGCGTATAGCACAGACCGCGGGTGTCCAAAGCAGGCACGGTGTACGCAAGTATACAGCGCGTCGGCCGACGGCACCCCTCCGGCGTTGGATTAGACGGATTTAAAGAGTATAAGTCGACATTAAACCGCTAAAGAGGCGCGCCCCCTCGGGCATTCCAAACGGATTTTGCTTCCAAGCGGCTAATATTTAACGATTATCGTCGTCGTCGTCGTAGTCGATTATGCAGTCTCGTCGGCAAAGAGTCATGCGGATCGTAGCAGCTATATATAAGTAAGTCGGCGAGAAATTGCATCTTGTATGTGTGCGCTGCGTGCAACAATCTACGTTACGACGTAGGTATACATAGTACCGGCACACGTGCGCGCTCAGTCTCGTGGAAAATGGAATGCTCGCTTCGGCAGAAAAGCAGCAGCAGCAGCTCGAAAAAAAACACGAAAAAGAAAAAAATTTAACCAATTGGACTTACCTGCGGGTAGTCGCCAAATTTCGTCTGGTAGTCGAATACGTAGAGGTAAGAGTTCCGATGGGACTGGCTGTGGAGATCGGCGGTGCGCGTGGCCGGTGCTACTGTGTTGGCGTCGCCGAGCGCCTCGAGCGTCTCGTCTCTGTGTGCGGCACACGCGTACACACGAGCAGCAGCAGGAGCAGCAGCAATTGATATCCACGACAGCCGGGAGGAAGACAGGGGTTAATCGACAGAATTAGAATTATATACGCGGTTAAATCGAATTTAAGCGAAATTCGTATACCTTATGTTAACAGGATGCTGAACGGGCTTCTCCCAGTCGGTGTACTCGTTGATGATGGTGGCGAGAATTTCCGGCTGGTGATACGTGTACGTGTTCCTCACGAACTCGCGCAGTATCTTCATGCGGCGGTCGGCCTCGATGCCGTATTGCGCGTCGTCAGCCGTCAGCGAGAAGTACGCCTCGGACCTCACGACGCCCACCATCAGGTCGTACCTGTGCGTAAAAAAACATGTTATTTATTTCAGTTACGAGCACGGACATTATCAGCCTAATAGTAGACAGAGCCGCGCAAGATTGGCTATTATATACAGAAAGCCACTTGGACATTATTATCTAACTGCTTTTACGAGCTACTGGCCCCACGGCACCACAGAGCACTCGCCAAAAGGCTATCTCTCCAGGGTGCGTTTTTTACCCGCAGTGACGAGAGAGATAGAAAGAGGTAGAGGGTACGGTATATATTAGCAAATAGCTGCGATTACGCCCGTTCGCAGGTTTTATTTTACTCCTCTGTTTTTTTTCTTTCTTTCTTTTTTGCCTTCCCTGCGGTATATGTTTTCTATTCGTCGGTTCTGCCAGAGGCGGCGAATGAAAAAGTAAATCGAACTCTGCCGAATGAAGATTCATGGCTACACGAGCCACGCGTTGGCAAATTAGCTCATTTTCAAGCGCGCCCGATTAAAAGTTACATTTATTCAACTGTGTACGAAGTTGGGGGAAAAAATCTTACATGCTACAGCGCAGTTGAAAAGCTGTTTTCTTTGAATAATATTTATTCGTATGGTGTGCATCATACTTATACACTGTTACGATTGCTGAGTGCAGTATTATATATATGGCTGATTCTATGTAAAATCGAACGATAAAAAATTATTGATCGTGTGTCACCCTTTTATAGATAGTCAAAATTTTTTCTGAAACTCAAACTTATTGTTATTATTAAAAGAACATTCCTAGCTCCATCCTGAGTGATTTTTAGCAAAAAGTGCTTTGATTTTGACCTATATTTCTGTGTATAGTAGCAAAGTTTCACGTGTTCGGACCCTATTAAAATACTTTTTTTTTTGAAAGTTTGGTCAATTTCTAGAAAAAAAGGCTTTTTGTCACTTTTTGTCCTAGGGTCACAGTAAACTGATTTAGGTCTTTTTTTAAACATTAGCAACAACCACGAATTTCGGAAAAATGCCAACTTTGAGCCTCTAAAAAAGGATGATAGATGGTTTAAAAAAAAAATGACGTCATAAAACAACAAATTTTTCGTGGGACAAAAAAGAGGTTTTAGCAATTTAATTTCTTATAGAATCAGTCATATGTACAATACACGAAAAGCTTATCCTTTTTTCGGCATATCATTGGTGCGCAGTGGTCAGCGGTACGGAGCTTGCGCGCGGTAATAGTTAATACCGGCAGCAGCAGCTCACTGAAAAAGTTCAGCCGAGTGTAATTTTTCCAACTTTTTCGCCGAAAACTCGAGCGCTGCATATAGATGCCTATATACTGAATACTACTGCCGCTGCTGCAGTTATGCGTGCATGCAAAGTTCATCCGTCCGTCTGCAACAGCAACAGCGTATCATGTAGATGCGCGTGTGCTTATGAATGAGTTGAAACCGCGGGCTCAAGGGAGCGCATTATTATAATATGAAGGAGTCTGTGAATTTACATTCGAGAAGGGGTTGCTTAATTGGTATCTTTTTTAGCTCTATACATGAGAGATTCATCGGGCAAGTTTTTCATTTCTCTGGGTAATGACAAATTATATTATTTTATTATATTTTTTAGTAAATCAATTGAAATTAGGTGAAGAACGTAGTCTACGAAGACGAACGTGCTTGAACGACTAAACGAATGATTGATATAATACAATTTCAACAGGTGCACGGACTCGTTGGCCGATCGCTCGATATTTTTGTCACGTACACGAGCTTCAATCAATGCAAATTTATTTTCTTTTCTCTCCTAGGAGAGCCTGTAAATTCATAAATATATCCACGCGGCTATCAGCTTTCTAATGGCTCATGTCACACGTACTTTACATCCTTGTAATTTCATGGCGTTGCACTATTCTCAACGTGCGGGTTTGAAAAATTTCCTCGTTGAAAAGTAACGATAAAGAAAAAAAAAAAACAGCTAGGGTAGTAGCAGCAGCGGCAGCTCCGTACCTCTTGCGAGTTGCGCTGCTACTGCTGCTACTGCTGCTGCTGCTGCCGCTGCGAAAAAAAAACTGAGCGATGAGATTTCAGTTCGCTGCCAAGTTTTCTAATTTCATTCCGTCCTCACGCGTTGCGCGGCAAATAAAATTTGACTTTTACTCCCTCGGGGAGCCGTCCAGGCGCGCTAGGCGAGCGAACGAGCGAGCGACTCGACGAGAGCGCATTCTTGCTCTAGCTTTTTTCCTTCCTTTCTCTCTCCTTCTCTCTCTTTACAACTCGACCACAGCATTTATTTATTCGCCAGTCGAAAAGACGCGTTTTTCGCCATCTGTCGCATCGCGCGTTGCCACAGCAGTAACAGCAACGGCGTTGGCTTATACTTTGCCTATGCTCGGACTTGGAAATCTTACTCCGCGCGTTGCGTAATCTTCTTTGTTCCGTTTTTTTCTCGTGCGCACCCCCTACTTGCTGTTTCCCTCTTTGAAGTGGCTCTAGCTGCGCTCGACACTTTTTTGCCTCGGTCTTTTTCATAATTTACACGCTGTTCACGAAGCATGGAATTGTGTAGTTCGCCGGTTTCTCTCTCACTCTTTATTTCGTGCACAGCAGCCACAAGAACGCTCGTAGCACGCATCTAAAACTACCTAGCCTCGTCCAAGAAGTTGCGCTTCTTTTTAATGGATTAGCGGCCGCTCCGAGGCAAGCGTAGCATCGCGTCGTACATCTCTTATGTATATATTTTCGTCCCCCCATGGACGAGCTGTAGACGCGCGAGATGCTAAGTGTTTTCGAAGCTTTACGATGCAGCAGCTGTAATATTCGCACGCGGGCGCACATGAATACATTTAATCGTTATATAAACCGAGGGGGAGTGGCGGCGACTACATAACGCGTGAGAAAAATTGGTGAATCGTTTGTTTCGCGACCGCGCGCAGCAATTACCTCGACAGTTTGGCGACGACGTCCTTCCTCAGCAGAATATTGTTGAGCGTATTGATCGTGTCGACTTGAAGCGTGTAGTCCTGGTCCTCGGGCTCGCCGGGATCGATGACGACGCCGTCGATGCTCGGCCCGAACGCCGGAGCGAACTCGAGGCCCCGCACGGGGACGGCCAGCAGTTGCGACAGCGGCACCTCCCTCAGGCACGTGAGCAGCGCCTGCGAGTCCCCCGTCGTCTGTGGGTCAAATTTTCAGCGTGTAATCTTGAGAATTATTGATTAAACACGCAAGCGAACGAGTCTGTTCGGCGTGAAAATTTCGAAACTCAAACTTGGATCGCATATGTAGTGAGTATTGAACGTTACATTTATGTACAGTAGAAATCAATACATCAAACATAATTGGATAGACGATTCATCTTATATTAAAAACTTTGCCTTTTCTCATGTGATTACAAAAATTCGGTCACTCGCCATCTAGCGGTAATTTAGGTACCACTTGATGCTCCACTCGATAAGAATGAGTCTTATAAACGAGCGCAATGATTCCAATTATGTGATTTCCACTGAATATATCAATCCAAAAGATTTGAAAAAAACAAATTTTGTAAGGAACATATTTCGTCAGAAGCGATAAACGTTTCTGATAAAAATACATGCGTTAAAGGCCAATTATACGAAAAAGAATCTGCGGAAAAACTCACTAAAAGTTTCTGCTTTAAATGGGAAAAAACAAAAAAAAGCGTATAAAAGAGAACGAAAAAAAATAAAGAAAAGTAAAGAAAAGTGCGTGCTATATCTAGATCGTGCAGTGCAGCGTCGAGTAAAGTAATTTATTACTATGTTTTTTTTTTATTATTCCTACCGAACAATTGAGATTCTTGGCAACTTGAGTCGCGTAATTGGCAGCCCCTCTTATAAGAGCCCAGGGTGAAAGCGCACTTCCAGACATGAGTACGCCCCGATGAAATAGTAGACCTGCAACATACAGCACACACACACACCTATATAACGATCATTTGCAACATTACAAAGCGTCAATTAATTAGAGCGTCAGTGCGGCGGTGGCGGCTCGTGCGGAAGGGGGGAACTTGGTCTCTCGCACACTCGAATATCGATCGGACACGCGCGGACGAGACCTGTGTGACTCTGTATGTGTGTGGGTGTAAAAGCTTTCGCATGATTTTCAAACTTGGTGGAAGAAACCTTAACGAGTTTAAAAAAAAAAACAGAAGAGGATAGAACGAGCCATTCGTTAGTTCTCGAGCTTTGTAAGCTGGGTATACATTTGTGGAGGGATACCTTGATATACATACGGGAGCTTGCATCAACATGTGTCTCTATCGCTTAGACTTTAATCGGACGCTGAGCCGCCATTAATGCGGACGGGGGTCGGACGAGCTCTCGTAGGACGAGCGCGGCAGAAATCGCAATTACATCGAAAGGGCTTAAGTTGGTCGCGATTTGGCCTCGCTCACTTTGTGCCCCGCATTACCGCAGTAGTGCTCCCATGCCACTACCTACATGCAGTGCGCGAGTTCAGCTAGACTATACCTGTTCTGTATGTATTATATATAGGGCAGAGAGCAACATTCGAAGCGATTAAAGCGATTCCCTGGTCGCGCGCATGCATGCTGATCTCGCGCGCGCGCGTGCACCGGATCGTCTCATTTTACAAGCGGGGGAATATCTCTCTCTCTCGCTTTACACTATTTTGCCTGCGCACTCGGAAAACGTTTTCGCGTCGCGCTTACTTTCTTTGCTCGCAAGAGCGTGCAGCTATACGCGCAGTCAGACGTGTTATACTAGTTATTTACACATCAAGGGCTGTATGCGGTGTGGATACAGTCGAGGTGTGTTTGCAGCGTTGGGGCGCTGTAGTCGCCGAGGCTGCGTAGCGAAGCGAAGCAGCCGAGGCACTACAGCGTCCGCAACGCTGCAAACACGCTGAGACGTATCCACACCGCTAACAGCCATTGATGTGTTAACAATTTTTCTGCATAAGAGCTCGTTTTGAGAACTATATCATGCATAATTGTTATGTTCCATTTAATTTCTTTATAGCACTCTAAACTAAAAACTGTAACTTGGCCGCTAGTTTTCGGCTCTCGTCTACATACTGTATATGCGTATGTCTCGTGTAAAATACTGTACATGCAACTTGTGTGGATATGTTTTTTCTGAAAAACGAGAGGTTGCATAAAGCACTGGTTGTGCCAACTTGAATCTCATTACACTGATTTTCCTAGTGTCTTGATGAGTAGAGTCGGTATAACATCGGTCACGCTGCATTTCTTTCCATTATTCAGTTTCTACTGCTTCATTTTTACAGTCATCGTGTTTAGTGCGAACACAAACATGAATTAAAAATGACATTTCTATCTCGTGTAGATATGTTTGTATTCAAGAAAGAGAGGTTAAAGGCAGCGCGAGTTGGCCTGCCACTTTGACATGTAGCAGACAGCACAGGCTACACGCACGCGAGCTGAGCGAGTCGTCTCGGCTCGAGTCTGCGGGATCGCATACAGTCGAGGAGAGCAGCGCGCTACGTGGCGACAATTCACACTTCTCCTCGACTGTAATCAGGGCTCCTCGACTGTAATCAGGGCTCCTCGACCTGTATTCAATTGATTTCAGTACGAGGAGAAGTGTGAATTGTCGCCACATAGCGCGCTGCTCTCCTCGACTGTATACGAATGCCTTACTCACTGAGCACGCTCAGCGCGAAATCAGCCTCAAACGGGCTCGTATGCTGAAAAATTATATATTATATCCTCGATAGCAAACTCGTCGTCGTACCGGGGGCTATATACTCATCTACAATTATAGAGCAAGCATTTTATACTAGATATATACGCACGCAGACAGGATCATATAACGACATTATCCAATCGCTAATACTCAAATCCCAATTAAAACTTCAATTAATCCAGCCGCTCCATTCTCATTTACGATCTATACGTCCTTCCGTTCGAAACTTCCTCGTGGCCATGGCAAACGCGTATTATACCATAGTGGCGCGCGGCGCTATAGTAAAGCTGCGTTATATATAGATTTTGGAGTTTGCCCTGCCACTGCCGCTGCGCAAATATATATATAGCACTATACACAGGGTCGTGGCTGCATAATACTCGCGCGCGCGCGCGAGCGTCTTGCAACGGGCCTTCTCTCGAGCTTCTCGCAGTTTCTCTCTCGCACTCACTCTGGCACAAGTTAAGCGAAAAGGTATATAGCCGCGCGAAGCGCTGGTGCGGCGAAGCTTCAATTTTACAACATCTAACATATATCCGCTTCACTGTGTATAGTACGCTGCACCTTGACTTTTATGTTCCTTTTTACATCTCTCTCTCTCTACTCGTACGTCGGATGGTCCGTAATTTTTTTTCTCTCTACCGTGCAAATAAGCGCGCGAGATACCATGATTGATCGCCGGCGCAGACTCGAGCTTTATATGTATTATGTATTACGTCACCGAAGACCAAGAGTCGAAGAGCTTTTTTATTCTACCGGAGCTTTTTCCGTCTTTTTTTTGTATCTCGTATAGGGTGATAACGCACCCGAAACTCTGCGGATCAAATTTATCGAGAGCTCGATTGTATTGTGCATACTTTGGGAGCTGCACAGGCCTGCTGCAACAAAAGCTCTATATAGGTAAAACTTGGTCGCTTTTTTTTTATTTCTTCGTCCGAAACCTTTGGGCGAATATAACCCCCCGAACGAAAGGCTAGAGCTACTTGCGCGAGGATAAAAACAGAAAACGTCCGTACGCGATCGTGTTCGGCTTTCGTCAATACACGTAGCCAGTGGTAGCATAGACGATGTTACCATATTTACGTGTGCATGCTGCAAGCGGGAGTAGACATTCTATAAATATCGCAAACGCACGATCCGTTTGATTTATTCTTTTGTTACAATCGCTGCGCAGCAACATCTCTGCTCACAAAAGCCTCTCCGTTTCAAAGTTTTAATACGCTTTGTCATGCTAATCTTTTTTCTTTTTTTTTGTGAAAAAAATACATTTCCGAATTCCTTTCTTAACGAAGCAAAATTCATATGTATGAAACGTCCACGCGCGTAAATCGAGAAAGTCGACGAGGTCGCACGCGTACATATACACACTGTACATTTAGATTTTGGTCAGACGGTGCGTTTCGAGCGTTGGCCTTCTGCGCTGCGGTTCACGCGATGCACTGCAGGCAGGCCAATCGCGTGGAGTCGAGCTCGTGAGCCTCGATACGGCTAATCGTATCGATTTCCCACCTGGCCGCGTGTATACGGCTCTCAAGCTCAGCTTAAACGCGCGTTCGCATTATTAGTCCTACTCGGTTACTCGGATGGATTCGCCGGCGCGCTGGCGCCCCCTCTATTTATGTAAAACGCCTCTGGTGCGCAACACGCGACGAAACGCGTCTCTCTGCTCCTAATTGTCATTTCTTTTGTTTCTTTACTTCTTCTTTACTATCTTTACTTATACAATTATTTGTTCTTTGCCACTTGCAGATTTAGATAGATGAAGGTACTCGCCATCTAGCGCTAGAAGCTGGCTTTAATTACGATTGAATTTTCCTGAATTTTTATAAAAATTCCAATCAAAATATAATTTTTTGTATAGAATAATTTTTTGAATATAATTTTTTGTATAGAAGAAATTAAGTTTTCTTCGTTTATTTTAGCATTAAAAATAATGAATATGATTGTATCTTATTCAACTTTTGTTTAGTTATTTAAAAAAAAATCATTACACTGACATCGCGATTCTCATGCACATAAAGTAACGCTCTTCATCTGCGCTCCTCATCATTAATTTGCAATTAAATGAAAATATTTGATTTGAAATTAAATCTGTATTCGATTGAAGATTTATTAGAGTAAATTTTTGAATTATTAGACAAAAACCTTAGTTTTTAAAGTGATATGAAGTTAAGTATTAGAATTCAGAGCACGTTAAAATTTTTAATAAATACATATCGCACACAGCGTGTTGATAACGCCCTATTTTTTTAGTTATTTAAAGTTTCGAATCAAATTTAATTTCTCTAACTTTACTTTTAAATCATTAAAAGTTGATATGATTACAAGCAGCCGCATAATCGCACACGAGTGTCTCTCATTTGAAAGATTCATTATGATATCAAGACTACTACGGAAACTCTCTCTGAGTATTTTTTCATTGTGCCTTTTTATTGTGCTAAATACCGGTGAAAGTTTCACTTCAAAAATGTTCATGAAAATCGAAGCTGATAATTACGGCACACACACACGGGTGTGCGCGTATCTGCTGCGTCCACTTATTAATTCGCTATTGGTTCTTGGCCACAGAGAAGCGAAACTTCGAAAAAGGGCTCTGTGACTAGATGCTCGCGTGCGGCCAGAAGGCGCTTGTTTGCGTATCGAATAGCCCCCCGATATATCGTAGATATAGATAGAGTATACATTCGAGCTGCAGCACAGTTTCCTAGCCTATAAAGCCGTGTATACGTAGCTAAGGTAAGCGAACGCGGCTAGAGTCTGCTGCTGCAGCTAGTGGTAGTAGACCTGCGCGTTGGTCTCGGAAGTGGACTGGAAGTGGGCTGGACACTCGACTGGCTCGCTCGACTCGCGAATTAATTCTCTGTACAAAGCGGTATACGCAGCAGCAGGTCGAAGTCTCTTCTCATGCTCACGCTCGAGCAGTGTGCGAATAAACGCTAGCTGGGGCGCGCTGCTGCTGCTGCTGCAACTTCCTCGAGCGAGTGATTTAGCTGGGCTACGCGGCGGCGTTGCTGCATGTTCTATTTATATATCTACTATCGTAGCAGTAGCAAGCTGGCCTTTGGTCTCGCGCCCGTCCGTGCTCGTGGCAACTCCCAACTTTTGCTATTGGAGGGAAAATTCAATGCGCTGCGGCTATCAAATTGACTCTGTACACTGATATGTTTGCTCGAGCTCTAGTCTGCGCTGCTACTGCTGCCGCTCTGCGTTTACTTATATAGCAGTAGTGTACAATATACTGCTTCGAGCTTCTTGATAACAGTTACCTCTCTAGAGCTTGTGTGTGCGAAAATCTCTCTATGAGTGTTGCATCTAATTGGTGTTATGTGTATCATACGCGTCGGGGCGTTGAGCGCGCGAGCTCAAAAGGAAACGTCATTAAATATGTACACGTGTTGATTTTACTACATGATGATGAAAGAGAAGTGCATGATAATTACCATCGGGCACGGCTCGGCTCGTCATGAGAAAGTTGACGCAGGCTGCCCCGGTACCGTGGCCGACCAGCGTCACGTTTTTCGGATCGCCCCCGAAGAAGGCGATGTTCTCCTGTACCCAGTGCAGCGCCGCTATCTGGTCCATCAATCCGTAGTTGGCCGGCGAGCGCAGGTGCGCGTCCGTATTGACGTTCAGAAAACCTGTTTGACACAAGACAAAAATTCGGTTAGTATTGCTCTATATACGCGTCTATGTTCTAGCGCTCGTTTAATTGAAACATTGCGGGGAAATTTCTCGCGTTCGAGTATTAAAATTACTCGACTTTGTCCGCAAGCTTTCGAGTATGTGCTGCAGCACACACACACACATATATTGCAAAATATATATAGGTGCACCGTTAGAAGTTTAGCTAAGCCCACCCCCGCTCCCTGCGATAGTCGTGTGCGCAGCACGTCGACATGGAAAAGCCATGTATTCATGAGTTACGCTTCGAAATTCATAACGTTCTCCGGTTAGCCATTGTTTCGATATTTCCTCGTGGTGGTCCCCCGCCTTTTATTGCGCGGCTCCAACTCCACGCTACAACGCGCGTTTCCCACACCCTCACGCGTACGTTTCAGCCCTTTCTTTGTTGTACACATTTCCTTCTTTCTTCGACCTCCTTTTTTTTTCTCTTCTATTTCATCCCTCGGTAACCGTTTATACGTAGCGCATATATTTATAGCGCTGATTCTCATAGACCAGCCAGAAATATGATTTATGCATTCGATAGTCCAAGGCATTCGTTACTCGCATTATATACACAGCTGCGAGCGGCGAACGCGCAGCAGACTGCACAACGTGCACACATACACAGACGTACACGAATAAATAATTGTTTTTGCGACTTTGTGTATTTTAGCCGCTCGTACGCGTATGAACGAGGCATTGGTTGTTGGCCTTTACAAAGGAATAATTCTTGATTTTACGGGATATTGCTTCGGCATATGCACGCGCTCGTGGTTACACTCCGCAGCATCGTGCGACCATCCCGCCGTAAATCGCGCAGGCTTTGAAATAACTCAGCCTTCAGTTGCGTGTCTCTATTTTTCCTCTTTCCTATGCTACATCGCCAGCGCACGCATGTACGTGTTGATCTACCGTATATGGTTTATCACCGAAAGTATTACGATATTGATTCTACCAGATCATTCGAAGACCAATCAAGTATACAATTACTTTCACTTTTTCACATGCGTATTTACGTTTAAAGGTGTACGCCATCTAGTGGTAAAGGATGATAGTAGTGTTATCGTATTTTTGCAATATTTCTAATTATCTTTTTTTATTATTGTTAGATCATTATTAATGTTGAGCATAATTTCTATCAGATATTTCCATTTTTTTTCCTGACTTTTCTTCAGAGCTCTTCGGGACTTCCCTTTTTTTTATTTAGAAATTAAATTTTAGTATGATTCAGATAGCCTATAAATAGTTTCAATAAGTTGAGCGAACTAAGGTGTCGTGAAAATTTTTCTTCTAAAAAAAATGAGATGAAGCAAGGAGGCGCTGGAATGAGAAAGATAGAGAAAGAAGGAAAAATAGTAGAGATATATATGACGCCAAGCGTTTGGAGTAGAGTAAATTTGTTCAGAAAAAATATGACGATATCAGGTGGAATGTTACCCTGGCAGTGACACTCTCGCACCGGCTCTCGACGAGAGAGAGAAGAGAAGCAGTTACTTTGCTAGTTTTCATTTTTATTCTCTCCCCTTCGCCCCTAGTTTCGATAGATGGCCCGGAGTAAGCTATAGCTCATACGAAAGTGGTGATATTCTCACTCCTGACACTCCTCGTATAACTCTCCAACTTTTATATTTCTTATTTCGTTTTATGACCCACGCCTATGGCTTTTACATTAGATGGCATTACTTTGCACTTGTTGTACCAAAACGTGAATTTTCGACCACTAGACTAAATGCACATGATCACTTTTATCATAATTGAAGCATTAGGATATCTTTTGCGACTATAAAATGTGTGAAAAATGAAGATAATTGTTCGAGTAGGAATGAAACTGAATCAATCGAATTACATGAGTAAAGTTCTATTAATTATTATTGAATAAGCGCCTGCTCTGAGAAGATAAAATAAGTATAGGTTACACGCAGTATTTGAGCGTTGCTCTGTTTCTCGCGCATTTCATGTGTTGTAAGTGGTCTCGTTGAGACCACAAGTTAATAATAAAGCTTTACAATAAAAAACCAGAATAGGAATTGTTATTGACAGGCAAGAATTTAAAAACATTCTTGCAAATAAAGTTCAAGTTTTGTATTTTTTTCATCTATATCACCGTGTTGTTAAAGTATACATAACATCTTCAAAACTAACTATAACTCCCACAACAGCTCTTTATCAACGATTTCTACAAATTCTCCCATTCAATCTCGTGGTTGCAAACTTCTGTTCAATGATTACATAACATTGACCTTTCACATTCACTCAATGTTCCTTTACTTTGTGAACTCGCCTAACTTGCGCTTAATCAAGTATACTACTTCATAGTTTTTTTCCAATATAGTATATAGATATATTTATTCACGTTTACGTTTAGAGTGCACAAAGTCACTTTGATACGAGGCAAAATTTAGCCTCTCTCCATTGTAACGGTCAGCTTTTACATCGGGGCGTAACGAAGTTCGAAAAGGGATTATCGAAGCGGGGATCCAATAATCTACGATGGACAGGCATTATATATAAAATGAAAAAATAAATTATCGTATGATCCTACATTTTTAACGGTCAAACTTGAGCAGGTCCAATTTCGCTCGAGCTAGCTAGCTCTGGCGACTGGCGGAGCGGCTGCCGCTGCGACAAAAGTTAGACGTATAAATTTCAGCAGGTACTCGCGCTCGCACAAGCTTCGATTGTTGTGGCACACGCATTATTGAACTTCGGTCTGAGCCGTGTACTTTTGTAAATTATTCACGAGTGCGAATAGCAAAGTGCGCACCAGATATATAATACAGCACATATATAGTAGCTTGCAAGCTGCGCGTAAAAACACGGGCTGCGCGTTGAAACGCTAATCGGGTCAGCTGCAGCGATATATGCAGCGTCGCGATTTACATCGAATTCACGATCATGCAGCTCTTTCTTGTATATTACCGCTTGTTCGCCGCGTGTGACGGTGCAAAATGCTCAACAGCGAAAATTTAATTCCGCATTTTCCAGGGGCGCACGCGCATCCTCGCGTATACACCTACTTTTTCTGCAAAAAACAAAAAATCAGCGACCCGTTAAACAAAAGCGACACACACACTGCAATCGTTCACGCTAGTAGAGGCGGCGCAGCTCATAAGCTGCATTGTCGCGTACACATATAGCTTTACACTGCATAACACCGCGACGCCCGAATTCGAATAAAAAAAGGGGGGGGGGGGAAGAGAGAGAGAGAGTCTAGGCTTGTGGGAAATTTTTCCCCTTCCTCCTCGCGCTCACATCGTATATATTTCAGCGGTTAAAGCTGCAAACAACGAGTAAGCTAGAGCTTCGAGGGAAGCTATATTCAGTCCGTGCGCGTCGCATATAGCGTGGAGCTTGCGCATTTTTCTTTTATCATTATTATTATTTTTTTTTTTGCGTCGTCGCTGTTGTCAAAGCGCGTGAAAAGCACGCTAGCACACGACGACGAGGACGAGGACGACGGATACGTCGAGTGAAAAATGCCTTCCGCGGCATTAATTCAAATTTTCCGGAATTCGAGTCATTGTTCTCTTCGACACAATATCGCTATATGCAGTAGGCGCGCAGTGCGTGTGTGGACTCTCTCTCTCTCTCTCTCTCTAGCTCTAATGTATATGCCGTGTGGCCCCCGCACGCGTCGTCTATATTTGCAACTCGCTCGCGCGTATAGTTGCGAGAGTCGGCCGCGCGCAATGGTAAAATACCGGATGTTCCTCTCTCTCTTCCTCCCTCCTCTCCCGTTCTGCTGCTGCTCTCTCTAGTAATCTAGGTGTTTATTACACCCGCCAGTACTCTCTCTCTCTCTCTCTTTCTCTTTGTATGCGCGCGGACTGTATGTATGTACGTGTGCTGGTGGTTGCACACAGCATTCCAACGAGGTGGGAGAGCTGTATAACGTTTTGGGGGTCGAGGGTGATATAAAAGTAGTGCTTATATTTTTCCTCAGCCATTGCGCTGTTTGCTCGCTCGCTCTCTATATATAGACAGTCCTAGCTTTAATTTATTCCAATGGTTGGTTGCGCTGAGTGAGTTTGCGTTTTTGTTTTGTTTATTTTATTTTATTTTATCCCGACCGGGGGTTGCTTTTATCTAACCGCTACGTATTATACGCCTGTTGGCTGGCTGCGCTTTGTTGAATTCGAGATACGCTTAAATATTACATATCGCGAGATCAAGAGTTGCGGCAGCGCTTTGAATAGGTGCAAAATGTTTTCTCGATTATTACGTTCTCGATTCGCCTTTTATTTAATTTTTAATCCGCGCGAGCATAAAAAACGTCGAGTTATCTCGCATAATCGCAATTCCAAATATTCCAGTTCAAAAAGCTACTCCATCGCGTGCATTGATACTCCGGTTGAAATGTCAATTGAACATTTTTAAGAAATAATTTTCCACTATCTCTATTTTCATGACGTTCGCGAAAACGCACCCGTCGTGCACTGAAATAACTAAACTATTACATCGTAGAGTACACTACTACGTGGCATCACGATCGATACGCGCGCATGCTTCGCGTGACAGGTATATTTTCGGGTATAAAAGTAAAATTGTCCAAAAGCACTTGATGGAACAATCGTTATACACAAAGATCATTTATAACGCATTTAAAAAAGAGAAAAAAACGGGTAAAAAAATTCAGTCTCTAGCCCGTACGCGCGCGCTCCATATGAGTGCATTGACACGTCTCGATATGAAGTCGCAATGGTTGCACAGGGTCTAGCGCGCGAGCCTCGTGACGTTTGATTGATCGATCGACACATTGGACGATTTTGCATTTAGCAAAAGAGAGAGAGAGAGAGAGAGGAAGAACGATCCAATAGAGTAGTTCGCAGCACTTTCGAAATGGAGATCGGTAAATATATATCCGGGTGCAAAAGGTGTTTACACGGCGCCCGACATTTCGTATTCGTAAAACGCGACGGCTTATACTCAAACGTAAATATCATTTTCAGTCGTTTTAGCTGCGGATAATTTCGGATCTTTGAGAGAAGAATCGAGCTCGGCAAAATTACCGCGAAAGCATATCTCACTCTCTCTCTCTATCTCTCTTTCTCGCGCTCCGGCGCTCGCCCGTCGATTTACGGTAATGAGTTTCCTATTAGATTGTCGCTCGTCGACGCCACCGCGTCGTCGTCGTCTTCCTCCTTTCGATGTCGTCATGACGACCCAGAGTCATCATCCTACACATTATATATTCGATCGTTGTCTCGCGTCGCTCCCTCCTTTTCTATATTCCGTCAGATTTTTATGATCCTTACGCGTTCCTCGAGCTTGGCGAGCTTTCAATGCGACGCTTTGTAAGCATCGAGCGTTCATTTTCGTTTCATTTGTCGTGGGGTAGGGCGCGCGCACATGCGGGCGTCTTTATACATCGCCAGATACGATGCGCGTCAGTGCTCTCAACGTATGCCACGCGATCGACTTGCGGATGCTGCGTCTACTTTTCCAAAACCTTTATGAAAGTTTTATCGCCGGGTGGGTATTATTTGCTTTTTGAATATTTTTTCGAAGCAATATCTCACCCGCCTGTACAGGTTTTACAGAGGAGCGAGCAGATTTAACGCGTTTTAACTTGTTATCTTTGTTTGCGTGACTGAAGTTCGCAATATATAGTACATGCTGCAGTTATATAACACGCGAGATCGTCCTGAGGTATTATGCGTAATAAAATACCCGAAATGTGACCTCCTTCTAAAGTTTTGCTCAGGCGATTGGAAATTACGCATCGGTACATACAGAATGCGGTAAAAATGTGGTAACCCCAAAAAATTTTGCGAAATAATTATTAGCGTACAAAAAATCAAAACCCCCATAACCAACCTATATTTTGATGAGAAATATAATGGTGACCTTGGATTTAACCTTGAATATAATCTTAAAGCTAAAACGAATTAAACATCAATTTTTTAAAAAGGAACCCCAATTTTTTATTACAGATTGGAAAAGAGCGGACAATTTTACGTTCATTTATGCTTTTTGTTTAATCTGCATTGAATTTAAGGTTTTTGTTAACAGTGTAAATAGCAAATTTTAGAATAGTAATTTTTACTTTTCCTTACAAAAATAAGACTCGTTTTTTAAATCAGATTCAAATCAAATTAGTCAAAGAAATTATAAAATTTTTTTTTTATTTCTAGTAATTTTAAGTAACATAGGTGTGTACGTCTAAATTATGACTTTTATCTGTCATAGAGTTCTTTTATTTGATGAAAAGCCCAATGCCGTGCCTCTTTTCTCTTTCTGGAAGAAGGCTCAGTACGAGGAGAAGTATCGCTCGAAAATGTGTCTAGACTCGAGAGCGAAAAGATCACAAACACGCGGGTGAGGTATTTCTCCGGGACGAGGGCGTTTCAGCATCGGCAGCTTTAAAGTCGCAAGGCGACTTCGTTGTAGCCTCGGGGCGTCGTCGGGCGACAGTTTCTGATAGCCCAATCCACGAAGTATACGCGAAGATAAGCGCGCGTACAGCTCGAGGGAGCACATGGCTCGTATATAAAACGATAAATATTGACGTACTCGTCCTGATTTTATCACATCGCAACGATCTAGCCTGCGCAGCGTCGTCGAGTCGTTGCACACGTACTTTTGGTCTGTGTTTCACGTGTTCCACGCAGTTTACGCAGGGTAAATAGACAAACCAGCGATTGTCTAATTTACACTCGACGTCGCGCAATCGAAATTATTTCAATTAATTCACACTCGTTTGATTATGCGGTCATCGATACATCTAGACGTGCGCGCGAAGTCTCGCACAAGCTGACTTATCATAACTTTGTGAATTTTCATCAAAGAAGGAGCCATACCAGTTCAACTGAGGTCGTCTATATAATTCTATATAAGTAGACTTATGTGTATGCAACAGCCAGGCGAGCTGCTGCGCTGCTACTGCACCCTATCGGCCTGTCAAGAATTTCAAGAATGTTCCGTGTCCGAACTTTTTCCTAAACACGCACAGGCAGGCACATAGTATATATGATGCGTACGTGGCACGGAACCAACAACTTTTGGTGTTGTCCAAACGAACGTGCAAGTACTGCAACTTTTCTCTCTCACTTGCTCTCCCATCGTGTACAGGAGTTGTGTACATACGAGCAACTCCACAATTTACAGCTGCTAAATTATTGGCTGGAAATAGGTCCCATTTTTTTTTCATTGGACGCTTGTAATGAACATTGATTGCAGTTCCCAAAGCTTCGATAAAGCTAAAAATATAATCACAAATACTTTAGAACGCTGAAAAATAACTATTTTTATTGAAAAAAGCGTTCTTTTCAAACTTTGAAATGGTCATAACGAAAATTTTGATTTTTCACGCATTTTTATAGCATCTTAGAACCTTCAAAAACAATAATCTACGTTGATTTCTAGCGTCAAATTAAAAAAAAATAATTTTAGCTGAGAAGTTGGCAGGTTAATTGTAGAATTGCTTATACATAGAGCTGCGTGTGAATCTGCATGATTTTTGATACTCTGTTGACCCCACCCTTTGAGTGAACACATATAAGCTGCAGCACACATTCACGTGCACAACTTTATACATACACTTCCTCCTATATACAAAAATTGTATACGGCTGACCATTTCTCGACTCGTATCACTTGGAGCGTCACGTAAACGCACATATACATTCGCACACGCGCACAATTCCACGGGCATTGGCCGAGTGTTTATTTGCTCTTTTTATTTTACTTCGCTGCGACAGCAGTTGCGCGTGGAGGCTCCAAGTCGTCGTTGTCGTCGTCGTCATCGTCGCGATACTCGTAACACGCGGCCAAGCTCGTGCTATATACGAACATACGTTTACACGCGTATACTTTCGATAAGGCTATGGTATGGCCCACCTATGCTTATGGAAATGGCAATGGCGTACTTGCGAACTGCGTGCAATTTTTTTTATTCCTCTACCAGCTTTGCGTGTGCGCACGGATTCATATATAATGCACGTATGTGTGCGTATCTATAGGGTCGTTCAAGCGTTACAGAGTAGCCCTTACGCTCGAGATTATAACAAATATCTCACGCAAACGTTGCACAAATAGTCTGAACAATGGCGATTCAATTTCGCGTATACGTATAAAATATCGGTGAGCGAAGAAAGAGAAAATATTTAACTGTATTATTATTTAGTGTGCGTGGACTTACCTAAAATACCGAGCCTGTAGTTGACGGTGACGACGACCAATCCGCCGTAACTGGCCAGCACCGAGCCGTCGTACGGATTGCCCGAGTTCCACTCGTAGCTCTCGCCGTGCAGGAAGACTATCACAGGATAACTTTTGCTGCCGCCCGTACTCCTCGCGCCAGCTGAGAAACAACAGAAAAACAAAAAATTCATCGTTTATTATCGGGCACATAGAGAGGAATTCACATATGAGCAATCTTATAAAAAAAAACTGAGCAGTCGCAAAGATGTTTCGATTTATATGCATATAAGCTTCGAAGGAAATAAGGACGCGCGGACGATTGATTATTCGACGTCACTCGTTTCGTACCTCCCTGCACGTCATACGCGGGGGGCCGTTAAAGTGAAAAAGCAGCAGAAGTAGTAGCGTCGGAAACAGCCTTTGGTAAAAGTGTATATCTCGTAGAAAGCGCGCAAGGAGCGAAGGAGCAGTTTATTGATTTTGCCCTGGCGCAAAGTGAAATTCAGCAAAATCCTATCCACTGCGCGCGTAGCTCCTTTTTGTATATGTATCGAAACATCTATATAGATAGATGTATGTGCTCGCGAGAGAGAGAGAGAGAGAGAGTTGCGCTCGCTGCACTCATAAATATTAAAAATAAATAAAGCAGCCGGTCTCGATCGATCGAATCGCGCGCACTCCTTCAAGTTTCATCTCTCTCTCTTGAGCGGGCGCGCGCAGCAACATACATCAGAAAGTCTCCTAGCTCTTGAGCTTTTTTTGCGCTCGAGCTCTTACCTGCACACGGCTCGAAATCCAAAGCAAGTGTGTATATAGGTGCGCGCATATATATTTATGTACGCATGCCGCACGATCGAGTCCATCTCAATTTCTTATCGAAGCCATCCACCGTATCCTTGGCAGGCGGGCATTTGTTTTTTCACCGTATATAAGAGAAATAAAGCAAAATAAAAATAAATACATCCACCGTGCGGCGCTGCGCGTATATACCCACTCACACACTACATATATATCCCGAACACACGCTCGATCGCTCGATGCGCCCGAGTTTTTCGTGTACATATAGCTCGGCGAGCATAATTCGTCGTTTGGCAAAAGCAATTTAGTCGCAGTGAACGGCTCCTTGGTTTTTAGGTATAGGCAAGGCATCGATACAAATGACGCGCGGCGTCTTGCTTTATTTTTCGATACAGACTCTCGATGGAGCACGACGGAGCAGCGCAAGGCAGAGGTATACGCAAACTGGGATACAGATGCAAAATCGCTGTACGGCAAATTCATTCTTCATTCGAGCGAGCGACGTCGAGGATATACTCTACTTCCAAGATGAAGAATGTCCAACTCTGCATTGGCTTGTTTCACTGATAAAGTACGTTTAAAAAATATGCTCGGTGAAAAGTCACGAGAGCTTAGCACGCACTTCAATTTAGTTTTCAATTTTTCTTATAATCGGCGCCACTTAAATGAAAGAAGGAGACTACGGAGAGCATTGTGTCATTTATTAAAAGAGGAGGCATCGGACAAATAGAAAGTTGTTCACAAGAAGACTTCACCAGGAGTGTAAAAAATCATTTTCATTCAGAGCGTGCGTCACTCGGCTTAACCAGGCGTCATGCGGTTAGCCATTTATGAGTTTCTATAAATTTATGTATACGCCATCTGTTTGCAATGTATGAAACGTAAAAATTACTCGTATTTTTTCAATACTATAAAAATTAGTATCCACACGTGTGCCGTTCAAACTCTATATCTCAGAACTATACATGCTTGTACACAAACTGTAAACGAACATGTACCGCGATATATATCACGACAATCGTGATCCTTCCTTGAAAAAATCGTGTTAAGTCGTTTTATTCGTCACCTCATTGGTCGAGGAGTAACTTCTGCGCCTCGCTTCGTGATTGGTCGGAATCTTGCATCGGTCGCTCGTATAATTTTTTTAACAGGGAAAACTTAAATGTGGCGTTGGCAAAAATGTTTATATTTGTAAGTCATCGGTTATTTCAATTTCATATTTGTTATTTTTTCAATTGCATTTTAATTAAGAATAATCATGAAACTTTCGTCTATCTTCGACTATCTTACCCGTTGATGTTAGGATCAATTAGAGAAAAGTTTATCTTTTTGGTCAGGTCAAAGTTTATCTTTTTATCAATTTGCAACTGTTCATGACGGTGTATATTGAAGTTTTTATGATGATATGATTTGATAAAAGTAGCTTAGAATAATTATTGTACATCCACTTTAAATACGATAATAATACTTTAACTCTATTCTACTAGATGACGAATATCTATATCTGTAAATCTGCAAGTGACAAAGTAAAAATAAGAAGATAAGAAGATATACAATTTGTTTAATTGTATGAAACAGTATAGCGACTTTTGCTTTTGACAGTCTAAGACTTTAAAACTGCCCTAGGCAAACGAGGGCTTACCTATAGATATATAGTTCAAGTCATGCGCGTCGCGTGCACACGACGTATGAGCCGATCTGTTGCGGTAATTGGATCGCCTGGGCTGGTTACATACATACATACATACATACATACATATACGCGTCATCTCCGGTGAGAGCCAGTAATCGTGGAAGCAAGCAACGACGCTTCCGATATGTTATACAGGATACATATACGTACATCGTCGTCGTCGTTGCGATATTCCAGCGATCGGATCGCGGATGCTTATCGCTACATACAATATGAAAATGCGAATACGCAGCCCGATGTTTTCTAATTCCAGCCTAGTTTTATCGCGCAGGGCCAACGTATATATTTTGCTCCTGCGCCTCGGGGGTCATTATTGGTCGCGATTCGATTGGCAACCGCCCCGAATGTCGCACGACGTATGGAGCCGCAATATCTCGATACAGCAGCAACGATCGTGTGCGTGTCTGTGTGTGTATAGTGCACACGCAATTCGCGCACGAGATTACACGAGTCGACTGCGTAGGCGTACTCATGCGCGGCACGGCGAGCGCGCGCGATCGGTCGAACTAAACGGCCTGTATTATTATATATATACAAGCGCGAATTGCGTATATAACGCGTAAACGCGTCGAATATCGCTCGTTTAATACGGCGGCAGTAAGCGCGATGATGCGAGCTCGTGGCGCGCGCATTTATACGTAAACCGACGCTGCTATATACGCACGTATACATACATCCAGCATTCGTAATTCCTTCGTTATTGGATGAGCATTTGTTGGTCGCGTGCGAGATTCCATACGTGAATCTCGCTGGTCGGGATATATAGCGAACAAACGAAGAGCTTTGAACAAAATAAAGCACACCTGCAATATGCACACCTAGCATCGTAGTATATAGGTATGATATAACAATATAGAACTGGATCGACGCGCGTTTATCGCTATTAATTTCAATTTTGCGATCGCAACGATAATGGCCCGAGGGCCATAAAAAATGTGCTTATAGATGTCACCCGATTCCCGGCTCGCGCGATCATTTAAATCAAGAAAAAAGCTCGTCTTGCTTCCTGCCGAGCGAGGAGAGTTTATATATATATGACTCGAGCTGCTCTTTTATGCGCGCCTATATGGCGCTGGCTGTCGATGAAAACCGGTAATGAAAACACTCGATTAGATCGTAAAAATCTTTAAGGTCTTTTCCGCGCATGAAATATATATCTGTATAAGGAAATGCTTATACGCGCATTCCTCGTATACTCACGAGCGCGCGCGAGAGCTAGAGTATAAACGAAGAAAATCGACTGGTGCACGCACGCGGAGGGACGCAGTATAAACTCAATAAGCCCTCCATTAGTACGGCTATTATATTCGAATGGTAGCTGTACGCAGTAACGAGGCAAACGCAAGAACAAGCTCCCGGGGAAAAGGGAAAGAGAGAGAGAGAGAGAGAGAGAGAGAGAGAGAGAGAGAGAGAGAGAGAGAAACTGAAGGGGATAAACGCGAACCCGTAATAGCCTATATAGTAGCTCGTTATTGTATACGCACACACATATACAAATTTATTATTTGCACCCGCGTGAATATGAGAATAAACGATATCGCGCGCGTTCGACCTTGTTATTTACTGTTTATTTAAGTCATCGAAGAAATTTAAGATCCGGGGCTGGCCGAACCACCGTAGCGAAGGAAAAAAAGAAGGAGTTTATTGAACATACATATTATTGAACAAACGCGTGGAAGCCGAAGAAGCATCGATGTATACCGACGATATGTACGCACCGTCGTACTCGTATACAATATATCCAATTGTTGGATTGCGATGCTTGCCTGGTCATTCATCATGCAATTTTTAAGCCGATATAGATCCGAGGATCATAAAAATCGTAAAAAAAATGGAAAGAAAGGAACATTCGATTTCCAGCACGCACACGTGTTACTGTGTGCACCTGACGTGGAGCAGTGGCGTTGATACGTACATATTATATATGTACACAGGCTGAGGTAATCTGTGCGCAATATCTGTCGGGTAATTTGACCGATTGCTAAAGTCCAGAGGATATAACGCGTCTCTCGTGTTTCAGAGTCTGCTGCTGTTGCTGCTGCCACTGCTGTTCCGTCGACTTTTAACACATATCGAACGCGACGGATGTAGAAAAGCTAGACTATAACTATTATTAATGATTGTTTCCCTCTCGACGAATCAATTCTTTTTATTTTATTTCGTTTGAGCTTGAAATATTTTGAGCTAGTGACAGCTGCTACAATGTTTCTTTATTAATTGTATAGACAGTGCGACTGTAAATTTTTATTGAAGACATACAAATATGGCAGTTTGAGTAGTTCAGAAACGCTCTTTTAGGCTAATATAACTCCACGAAGAAAATTGTTAATAAATAAACATTTTATTGTGGATTTTTGACTTATGGTTTTCTTTTGACTATCTAGACATTTCGAATTTTCGATTTTTTACTTTAGACCCTTTGTATCCAAATTATTACCAATGATTTGCATTAATTGAGTTAAAAATTGTAATTAAGTTATTCAGTCAACTACTGATATCCATAATAGAATAAACCCAAAACAACCTCACGTCGTATTCGATTTGCATTTAAATAAATAGTATAGGCCGAGGCTGCGAAAAACAGTAAAGCTTCAGGATACGTGTAATTAGTAGGGTGTACCCCTTTTTTAAATATTTCGAATAAAAAGAATAAAATAAAATATATCTCAGGAGCCGAGTGAAAAACTGTAAGATGGTATATTTTTGCAGGTCTGTGCACAACATGGGTGCTGAAATCAAAAATTTTCAGCTCGGAGTAGCACGAGGCAAATAAATACTAATTAAGCTTTGCGATTTTTTTTCTCCCATAAGAAGGGTTTAACGAAAAATTTTCTCTGAACAAAAAGTGCTTAATTTTGATCAAAGAATATGTGTGAATTTTTTCAGATTTTTTCGGACCATTTTTGGATTTTTGGAAATATTGACGAACGCCAAAAATCCAAAAATGGTCCGAAAAAATCTGAAAAAATTCACACATATTCTTTGATCAAAATTAAGCACTTTTTGTTCAGAGAAAATTTTTCGTTAAACCCTTCTTATGGGAGAAAAAAAATCGCAAAGCTTTTCATTTCCACATTAGTATTTATTTGCCTCGTGCTACTCCGAGCTGAAAATTTTTGATTTCAGCACCCATGTTGTGCACAGACCTGCAAAAATATACCATCTTACAGTTTTTCACTCGGCTCCTGAGTTATATTTTATTTTATTCTTTTTATTCGAAATATTTAAAAAAGGGGTACACCCTAGTAATTAGTGTCCGAGGCGAAGCGGACACTATCTACGTTGAAAGTCATTAGACTTATATCAGTAGGTTACTGAAAAAGGGTAGTTATGTTTGTTCTTCAAAACCAATTTGTTTTATCTTATAGTATAGCCTAATGCTGTAAATAAATATTTCAACCCCCTATTTAAATCTTAAGTTTTTACCGCAACACTTCGAAAGTATCAAATCTTAAATTTGAGCCCGTCATATTAGCTCGCAATCTTATGTATCTAAAACATGTCCCGTTTACGCTGGGCGAGAATCATTGGCTACCACCGCCTCTATCGCTACTGTCACATGCACGCAAGCATCCCCTGGCATGATTTGTTAGATATGCACGAGCCATCTCTCTATTTTTCCCTCTTCTTCTTCTTTCACCACTGCGCCTTTTCTACATGCGAGAAAACTAGAGTGAAAAACGAGCGTGTTCCACTTTCTTACGTGGCTCGCGTTTATGTAGCAGTTTTTACGCTCCAAGCAGACACACACCCACTCACACATACACAGACACATACATTCGCCGTGTTTATAGCCTAGAAATTGAGTAGATATAGAGAGAGAGAGAGAGCGAGAAAGAGAAAAAAAACTACTACATTCTCAAAGCCTTGAGTTTGTTGCTGCTGCCTTGCATCTTCTGCTTCGTTTGCTCGACATGTCTCGGGCTTGTGCTACTGCTGCTCGCCAATTGTGCATGTGCACGCGGTGCAAGCAGGCAGGCAGGCAGGCAAGCAATTCTCGATGACGTCGACTTTTTTACAATGTGTTTCTCTCTACGTGCCGATAATATACTGCAAGTCGAGCTTTTTCACGATCCTATCTCTATATATGTACGCTATGCTCCAAGGGGCCAGCTCCTTATACGACCGTCCCTGT